TACTATAAGGGTTTGGGGTTTAGGGGTCTTGATAACTGGAATAGGGTTTTGGGGTCCCTTCAAAGGGTTCTATAAGGGCTACTATTAGGGTTTAGGGTGTGGGGGCCTTATTAAATAGCATAGGGTTTTGGGGCCATAAGACTATAATCATAATACGTAACCCCCAAAATCGTATCGGTAAGATTTAAGCCCCTACATTATTCCGCATCCTCTAGAACTTGAAAAACTCATCATCCAGGAAAACCCCACAAGCCCTTCCATCAGAAGCTTTCTTTCCGGCATTCCCGTGTTTTTAGGGGCGGAGGTCGCCGGGGTTTAGGGGTGTGCGCAATCTTGCACGTAAACCCCTCTATACGCGTTTTCCCAATACAGAACGCTATATCAAAACCCGAATATCAGGTAGGTTGGCCCCTGAAAGCCTCTAAAACACATTCGTGAATAAGATCCTCTTATCCCCAATAAGGACGGATGTCAAAAAATCCCAAGCCCTACTTAGAAAAACAACATATAAAACCCACACATCCCTACAGTATTGGGGCCTCAAGTCCTCTAGGAGTCGGACACACAGCTCGTGCTCTTTGGCACAGCGGTGCCATCCGGTCTCGCCGGTGATCCTGGAAAAACTATAGCAGAAGCCTAAAAGTTGGAACATACTGCTGATGGACAAAATCCTGCATGACCTTATATACCTAAACTATGGGATTTATGCTACTATACTATATTTGGGTAATTTTGTCCATCAACAGTAATTACCCTCATGCCCTTAAGGTAAAGTATGAAGGGATTCTAGCACTAATCCTCCTAAACCCATTTTCCAACTTTCTGGGATTTGCTGTAGGGTTCCTCCAAAGGGCTCGTTACGGGGTTCCTTTCAGGGTTTCTTAAAGGGGCGACTGTACTGTACCTGTGTAGCACAAGTGCCTGAAGCCTTAGTCATTAGAGTCGGGCTTGGGGTACATGATACTGTGATTTATGTTTCTACAAGGGGATGCCTAAACCGTAAACCCTAAACCCTAATACCCTAAACCCTAAACCCTAAACCCTAACCGACCCCTGTTCTACACAGGCTCTGGGAGAGTCTTGCAGGGCCTCTCGAGTTTTTTGTGAGGTTCAGTGCGAAGGCTTCCGTCAAGATGCAGCAGCATTTCGAGGCTCTGGTTTAGAGTTCAGGGTTTAGGGTTTAGGGTTTCGATGCTTCCGGCGCGGTTGTAATCGCAGGGAAAACAATCAGAGCACTTTTGAGGATCCGAGCCTTCGATGAGGCAAGGAACTGAACCTGGCACTCCAAACACAAGCCCCTCAAAGAAGGCTTCTGGTGTCTGTAATATAGGGGCCTTAATAACTTGAAAGGGTTCTGGGGCCCATTGTACTATACTTACAATAAGGACCCCTCAAAATAGTATTGGTAATTATTTCGGCCCCCATATTATAACCTAAACTCCGTGGAGCGAAATTTTACTTAGGCATCCCCCCAATGTGTAGCAGCGGTCTTGTTGAGCGCTTCGGCGACACTGCCAGGATCGGTCTGGGAGACCTGGAACAAGGGTGCAGCCCCGAAGCCCTGAACCTAAACTCTAAAGCCCAAAACCCTGAATCCCGAGTCCGATTGCATAATGACGACTTGGAATAGGTGTCCATGTTAAACTATGCCGGAAGATGTTCCAGAGGCATACCAGCATCAGGCTTTCCCACCATTCTACACGCCTGAAATCCCCCGAACAACCCTACTTCCAGCCGTGGGGTCTCGTGCGATGCTAGAACCCATGGTCGCGAATCAATACCTGCAGACTGGTCTCCAGGTCTCCGCTTTCAGGGCTCACAGGCCCGTTTAGGGACCAAGACTTAGCGAAGGACACCGATTCTTTGCAATCAGATGTTCAGTTTGCCTAGTCCTGTCATGGCTTGGAAGCCCGATACATACTACGCCGCAGGGAGTGTAGATCATGCTCGGCCAGCAAACGTCTGCAAATGCAACGACCACTGTTCACGCATGATCTGTGCGAAGTTTACCCTTTTGCTTATGTGAGTCGCAGGTTCTGAAATACAGAGAGAGAAGAGGGAGACAGCGACACACACACACACACACATATATATATATATATATATGTATATATAGTCAGGCGTCTGGCGTTCCCGCCCCCCC